TAGCACAGTATCACATATCTGTTTGTCCTCCCAGCTGACATCAGCAAGGTGATGCAGGCCAAGAAGAAACGTCTGGAGTGTCTGACAAAGAACTACATGAAGGGAAGCCAACACAAGCTGGAGCAGCTGTGGAACAACTACCATAGCCAGAGGTTATTCCTGCTCCCTCCACTTCAAACACTCAGAGAAATGGTTGAAATTCAGTCTTAGAACAGTCACCACATCCTTTAAAACGAGCTCCAGAATCACGTCACGACTTCCTGTGAATCACTCAGCTTTAAAGTGAAAGACAGGGAAATTAAATCTCTTTAAATATCCTTCAAATCAGAGTTTTTGTCATTTAGTGTCACCAAAAGATGCATAACGGAGCATGTAGGGAGACATTTACCTAAAAATAGTCATTTCTGGATTCTCAGCGACTTCACGGCAGCATTGACGTTTAAAATGTCTTTAATTTCCTTATGTTTTGTAAAGACTGTGAGAGCCAGAAATAATATTTAAAGCTGTTCCGTTTTAAAACACTGTAAAAGACTGAAAACAAGAAATCTAAGTGAAGGTGACACGTTTTTTTTTTTTCAAACAGTTAAGTTTGAAAAAGAAAACAAATAATTAAAAAACATGTTAAATTGTAACAGTTATGCAGTTAATTAATGAATAGATCAATTAAAAGACTTCTCCAGTTTATGGCTGACAGTGAGCTCACAGCATACAGGCTTCAAATAAGCACCTGTACAGTGAACGGTCGGCTGCTCAGCCTTTTAATATCAGCAGATGCAGGAGCTGGTTTTTATTCCGGGACATCGCTTCGCTCTCTGTGCATAACTTTCTGTTGAACTTTTTTTGTTTCTCAGAGAACGTTTGTGTTATGAAAGCGAGGCGGTGCGCTCGTCCCGTCTACAGAGCATAAACAAGAAAGCTTTAGCCTCACTTTCTCTGTGGGTGGTCGTTTCACTTTTAAATAAAGGCGCCTGTTGGCAGCTCTGTAAAGGCAGCGGGCGGGTGTGACAGACGGTTTCCTGCAGAGCGTTCTGGCCTCGGCCAGGATAAACATCAGCTCATCAGAACACTGCAGCTCAGCTGCTGATCCCGAGCCTGTGGAAACACAGCACTGTTTGAAAATTTCATAAATTCCTCTTCAAACTGATGTCACAAAGGTCAGCCAGTTATTCGATAACTACATGATTGGAAATCATTTCTGCTGTGTTTGCAGGCAGAAGATGACGCAGCAGTATTCCCAGCAGGTGTCGTCGGCGCTGCAGCAGTGGGAGACCGAAGCCCAGCGAGCCGAGGAGCAGGAGGAGAAGCTCAACGTCAGTCCCTTCCTTTCACTTTAACTGTTGTAGCCTCACATGCTGCACACTGACGGCTTCAGGTGCTTCACCTGTGATGGCGATGAAGAGCCACCGCCGACGTAGACTCTTCCTTTCTGTCTGCAGAATCTGTTCCGGCAGCAGCAGAAGGTCCTGCAGCAGGCCAGAGTCGTGCAGAACCAGAAGCTGAAGACCGTCAGAGAGCTGTACGAGCAGTTTGTCAAGGTGAAGCATGT